CCGTATGTATCAAATATGATACATTTGGCATTACAGGGTTAAGGTTATTCTTCCATTTGGGAAATCCTAGATTATAATTTCATGCCTTATGATTGGTTTAAGGACAATATTTGTGTCAATGGAGATACAGTTTGATTTATCTACCTTAAAAGCACGGCCACCTTCAGTGACATCATGGAAAAATATTGAAACATTTTATGCAAATCATGCACAGAACCCCAATGCATGAGCAAAAGACACAAAGATTCTGGCAGAAGCTGGTAACAGAGAGATGTCATGCACCAATTGGCTGCCAGCAGCTCAACAAGAAACAATCCACTACCCCAAAAGCAAATATCAGGTTCAGCTTGTCAGTGCACTTATTGACAAGGGGTCTGATAAAATTAAAGTTCATGTACATTTGGAACAATCATTTTGAAAAATCTGTCAGAGTTGAAAAGGTGAGTGAAAGCGCTGCATCATGCAAACCTGACTCAGTTGCTGCAGTCAGGTCAGGAGGAATGGGCCAAATTTGTAAAAAATAAAATAAACCAGTGGTTCCCAAACTTCTTTTGCTGGGCCCCAATATGGGTTACAAGAACACTTCTGGACCCCACTAAATTAATCCAACCTACCTTTTAAAAAGTTAAATCATAAAGATTAAAGGGCAGTAGATGATATATTAAAGTAAAAAACCACAAAGTCTACATTTTCCTTTAAATTGCAAGATAACATCCTTTAAAATGTAATAATTTCATATTAAACTATGTAGCAGATTTTACTATTGCTATCAATACATAAAAAATTTGCAAAAGGGATCATGTATTCAATTTATCTCTTAAAGGTTCCCTGCAATTACAAGGCATTCCTATGTGGCCAAAACGATTGTCATTAACACCGAAAATATCTGTTGCCAACTGCATACACATTAGAGTTCTAATAACTATCTGCATCAAGGAACGTATATGATTTAAAGAGGGACTGTAAGATTCATATCTCTATTGTCTCTGTTCCTATACTTAAAGTCTCAGATAGACGAACAGGCCAGCGGCCCAGCCCAACCACAGCCATCTCAGTGTCTGGTAGGTCAACCGTTGGCCCCTGTCCCAGAGGAAGGAGCTGAATGTCTCAAATGCAACACTTTTGCTGAGCTGCAGGAGAGACTGGACTGCATTGACGGCAGTGAAGAGGTGACAATCACTATATACTGTCTGTATATTACCAAAGGTTTAAATACAATCTTGGTTATATTTTAACCTACTGAACATCGATCCAAGCAGGGCATTTTTTCTTAAATTGTTAGAGATTTTCTGATCGTAAATACGTTATGTTATGTTTTTACCATCAAAAAGATTTTCTTGTCCTTCCAAGGTAGGCTCGCCAAGTCTCATTTTTTTCTACGTTTTTTTTTTTTTTTTTAAGTTGAATGCTTCATTTACTCAAAATTAGATTCTTTATTCAAATCAGGTTCTATGTTTATTTTAGACATAGTCATCAAAAAACATCTTGGGTAATATCCTAAAAGAAGGGTAGGTTTATTTATTTATTTATTAAAGAGGTTACCCTTCCTATTTCTGCAGGTGGCAAAATTTCCTTTTGAAGAGGTTCAAACGAGCAAACCAGGTGCCAAACTAGAGCCATGTCCTTCCTCATGTACTCCTGGCTCTGTAGAAGGGCTGGAAACAGAGGCCAAAATAGGTATTTCATAAGTAGTTTAAATTATTATCTCCTCAAAGTGTTTTATCACCTAGCATGTTCAAAAACAATGGTTCTCCTTTTTCTCAGCAGCAGCCTCTAGGAGAAGAAGCAATGACCAGCAGCTTCAGGAGATCAAGGAGGTGGTGGAGGAGGCAGAACTGGCCCAGACAATGATCCACAGCTTAGCTCAGGCCACCGGCTCCCCATTGGTCACCAGTTCAAGGAGCATTACTGGAAGCAGTAACATCTCCCCCAACCCCTTACACAGAGCCAAGAGCTCTCAGCTACATAACAGGTGAGGACTAGCATTCTGATTTCCAGCTTTATATGCTGACATTAAGATGTTTTTAGCCATTCTTTGCTGAATATTTGACACAAACTGTCACTTTTCACAGCTGTGAAAATGTAAATGTAGTCGGTAATACTGAGGTGAAGGGTCGTCCTCTAGGATCACCACGCTTGGGCATCGCAAGCCTGACAAAAACTTCAGACTACAGGTGAAGCATGCTTAAAATTCAAACAATACCTTAAATACATTCAGCATTCCCTTTGCTGTGATAATCTTTTATTATCACAGCAATATATATATATATATATATATATATATATATATATA